ATACTCATGCCTATTTGTTTTGAGGTCCGCTGCTAGTTCTCGGCAACCACTGTCAGATGTTAGCAACGTTGAAATCGACGAACATTGTTTATCAGGACATGACAAAAGTAGACTTTTACGAACGGCTTTGACAAATATTGAGTCTGTAACAAAGCCTGACAGTCAAGATATGACGAATAAGAAGGAAAGGTGGAAATCCAAATTTGAGGAGGCTTCTCGTTTTCGCCGAATTTTAATAAAGAAACGTCAGAAGCCTATAAATTTTAGCGAAAACTACCAGCTACAAATTGTAAATTATACAGAAATGAACAATAATGACGATTTTTTTCCCTAGAAAGACGAAAAATGAAGATGGTGATGAAGCTGCTCATATTGCTAAATCTTTAGGGTGCAGATATACAAATCTGAAATGTATCGGTGAGCGACGAAAAGATTTTGCATCAATATTACATTTTAAGTGTTAACTCAACAATTCCGAGTTCGACATAAGCACTGAAGATCCTTCAAACACTTGTGATGTAAATTACGGTGTCGTTGCAGGTACTATTAGTATTGGCTGTGGGTTAAGTAATTTGAATGAATTAGCAGGTAATACCGATATTCCTGGTATATCAAAAATAATTGATATTCATTCTGTAAATACTAGGAACAGACACAAGCTAGCTATCTGGTACTACAGTTACTCGACTCCACTGAGTCAGTAATTCATTCTTGGGGCGATGTATACGCTTTTACAACAAAATCCCAGAAAATATACAAAATTTGACATACACAAAGTTCGAAAATTTTATTTAACTAAGTTTGTATAAAAAGGGTTATTATAATATTAAGGAATTTATGGATGATAATAACCCCTGGGAAGGGTGATCGCTACCAAGCTATTTCTAGTTTGTTTTGTGTTGTTATTTGTAACATACATGTTTGTAAGCTATTATTTAAAAAAAAATAGTCCCGCTGGGTTTCTTGCTAGTTCTTCCCAGGACAGATGTTTTTTTTTCCGAACCAGTGGTAAATGAAAAAAATTACTCAATAAGTATTATTTATAATCTATATTGAATAAAAAAGTTTCTGTTTCATAAATCTATATGCCCAAACAAGTAAAAAAGTTTTTGAATGGTTCCATATAACGGCAGTGGAAGAAATGGCCAAGGGTGGCATCGAGGAAGCTGAACATGTAAAGAAGATATCATCAGGAGCGGCAACAATAATCGGTGCACATACTGGAAAAATATGCGCAAAACTGAGAACAAAAAAATTGAACCAGCAAACCACATAATATGTACAAGAACTTTTCTCTGAGTCAACATCTCTCGTTGAAGGTTTAAATGCTATGAACTCACGGATTAATTTATACATACATATACATAAACACTCACGCCTGTCACCCAGAGGGGTAGGCAAAGACTACAGACTTCCATTTGGCACGATCCTGACACACCTCTCTCGCCTCCTTCACATCTATACACCTACGCATACATGATCGTCGGTTAAGGGTACTCCTAATTTGGCCCGTTTTCAATAAATCGCCAATTTGGTCGATAAATTTTCGCCAAGGACGTCCCTTTCCGACTCTGCCATTCACTTCTGCAACATAAATTTTCTTTGTCACTCTTTCCTCATTCATTCCTTCCACATGACCAAACCACCGAAGCATTCCTTTCTTAATCCTGGTCACAACATCATCTTGCAAACCACACTCTTCTCTTATTACACAATTTCTTACCCTGTCATTCAGATTCAGTCCTAACATACTCCTTAACGACCGCATTTCTACTGCGTTCATTCTACTCTCGTGCTTCTTCTGCCACACCCAACTCTCACTACCATACGTAAAAGTAGGGACCAACACAGCATTGTGAATTGCCATACGTGCCTTTTTCGACACATTTTGACTTCACAATAGAGTGTAAGGCCCAATTTATTCTATTTCCTGCACACATATGTGAAACGTTTATGTGGAATAGTTTTTGAATTATGAGGGGTCAAAAGTGGCTCCGAATGGTTCGTGTAATATCACGGTGCGGCTCGCCGTTATGCCTGAACTTTGCTTGACACGCTACCGCGTGTCTAGATAATACAGGGTTCTTGATAATTATCTTTTCACAACCTTTTCAACATAACAACAAAAATTATACAAATTAAAAAAAATTTGTAGTAAATAAGTTTTGTAAAAAGGCATGGAAAAAAAGAAGTTAGATATGAGGTAGAAAAGCTGCATGCGATAGGTTGTTAACTAATTATCAATAATCCTGTATATTAGATAAATTGATACTGAATAATTTTAGTAGGCGTCCCAGGGTCCAAAATTGCAAAAATTTCCAAAACAAAAATAAATATTAATTTTTAAATAAAAGTTGAGAAATTAAATAGGATTAGTATAAATACACACGAAATTTAATTGGTATATCATCCAGTTACTACGGATTCCTATGTTGCGAGAACATGTCAGGCGGTAGTTTCTTGATTTTTCCTGTTCAGACGAACAATGCCCGGAAGCAAAGATGTTTTATAGGTACAGATACCGTGTACGCGCACCTAAAACGCTTCCATTTAAAAGGCGCCAATATTGGCGTATTCGTTCGATCGTTCCGCCATTATGCCAGCGACGTTCACTGCGAACATACATCACGCACCAGTGTTTTTAATTTCGGAAAATGACTGTTTGTGCTGTGAAATCATGTAAAAATTACTCTTGGATAAAAGAAAAAGATAAGAACATCACTTTTCATAAGTAAATATACAATTTTATGGTGTATTTCTTGATAAAATAATACGAAAGCTGAATGTCAATACAAGTAATAATACTGCGCAATAATATTCGAGTGTTACCTACCGTATGAAATGTTTTTCCCTATTTTAATGTCATTAATAGATGTAAAGCAACTGTTGACAACGGATATTTATCCAAAGCAGCCGATACGCAACCTTTGAGAACCGGTTATTTATCCGACTACAAACGAAAAAGGATGGTTATGATTTTACTGTGTGTGCGGTTGGCTAAGCTGAATCGCTTTTTGGAATGGTGCTCAAAAACTACTTGACCTATTTAAGAAATTCTTTCACCATTAGAATGCTATTATGACTGTGAAATGTAGGATGTATTTTGATATGGAGGGCACTACCATCAACGAATATGTTTTTTAGCTAAACTCGTACAGTTCTAGACCGATTTTGAAAATTCTTTTACCACTAGAATGTTACGTATAATTAAATATGTCTAATGTAGGATGTATTTTATTATAGATGGCACTACTTTCTATGAATATGTTTTATTTGGCTTATCTCAAAAATTACTTGACTGGTTTTGAAAAATTCTTTTACCGTTACATTACTAATGAGGGCTTTAGTTGTGTGATTAAATTATATTATTATAATAATTATGTTATATTATTATTTATTATATAATTATGTTATGTTATTGTTTATTATATAATTATAATATAATGTTCAATTCACTTTCATGTCAAGGGCACTTATACACAATCAACATTGATTTTATATTTTTTTTTATTTATTTACAGGTTTTACAGTACAAAATGTAGCCTTTAAACACACAATCTTTTAATCGTCTTCCAGTGGCAGGATTTAATTGATTTTACGCAATGATTTCATCTAGTCATGAAACTGTATCGATATATGAAATTTAAAAAAAATAAACATTTACTATCTTTTGGCCGAAGTTTACACTTAACCAAACTTACTTTTGTACGTCATTTTACTTAAGATTAAAAATAATTAATGTCTTCGCGTCAATATTATGGGTTTTAAGGTACGAAAGTGTAGTAATCTTATATATATATATATATATATATATATATATATATATATATATATATATATATATATATATATATATTCAATAATAATAGATTAGTTCAATATATGTTAGATACATAAATATCTAATGTGATTTTTGATTTATTTTTAACTGTTACATTAATTATATCTAGTTTTTATTACTTATCTTCACTATTTTAGTGCGATTTTCATACAGACCTACATAAAACACACATAACCACCCATATCCCTTGTGTGTGTATATCCCCATTCACATACGTACACAAATGCACACGCCTCGAACACATATTTTACACTCAGGTATGTCAATATGAATGAAATATAAAATCTCCCAAATTTTTGGGCAATCGATTCGCACTATTATTACCGAAGTCACGCACACTAATGCAGGCATGCTACGTAAGATATGCGCGTCACGTGGTACTCACGCACACATGAATCAAAGACTGGCGTCACTGTGAACGGTGCGATGTGTTAGCAACACGGTATCTGTACCTATAAAACATCTTTGGCCCGGAGGGCTATAAAAGCGATGCATCGCCAGAGGCGTTAGTTCACTGGACCGTGCAACAAGTGCATAAAAATAAGTAATTCTACATTTAAAATTATTTTTATTTTGTCAATTGTTGTATAATATTTTGTTTACTACTTTTTTTCCTAAAAAATTAAGTGCTGAATACCTGCTGACTGCGATTTCAACGGTTTTACTTTTTATAAAATGGTAAGTGTTCCCTACTTTATACTATCAACATTAACCCTTTATAGGAAATATATCTGTTTCCTGTTCCTATCTGTTTCCTATTTTTATCTGATAACTTCAATAGATAATATAGAAAAAAACCTACAACTCCTGCATAAAACATTTTTTTCTATCTGACATAATAAAGGTTCTAGGAAGCACGTAAAAATAGTCAAAGACCCTGTACGAGTAAAAAAAGTAATTGGTTTTTTATCCATACTCGCTTAGTTTTTATGCTAAAGATTTTTTTTAAAAACCATTTTGTAGGTTTTTAAGGGTTATACGATCAAATTAGTTTAATACTTTTTCTGCTTTTATTTTTGAAAGGGGTACAGCTGAAAGGCTCGAACAAATTGCTTTTTACTTAAATATGCAATATGCAAACTTGGTGCTTATTATTGTGATTACTTTAGAAGTTAATTCCTAATTCCCATAAGTACTAATTACTTATTTGTTTTTTCAGGATAAAAGAAAGAGACCTTCAGGTGCGAAGTTTTGCGAGCAAAAGAAACTGAGACTACAAGAAAGTGAAAAGGGAAAAAATAGTTGGATCTTTAAAGCACTTCTTGCAAAATGAAGATTCCACGGAGACTATCGATGCGACCGAATATCAAGATTCTAAATCCTTAATATCAGTAACCGTGAGTGGACCATCTGAAATTTCAACACAGGCGACTACGGTAATATCAGGTCAGCAAAGGACAAGTGTGTCCAGCAAAACAACTTCCTCTCGCCAAGATCTTGTTTAGTTAGTATTTATAGCTGATATTTAGCTGTTTTAGTTTACTATTACTTAGTTTATTGTAATGTACTAATAATATGTGGGAGAAAATAAATACTACTTTATTAATTATTAATTATCAATTTATTAATTAATTAATATTAATTATTGAATGAGAGAACGATAAACATCGTTAATAAAAACGTATAATGCAGAATGACACCTAATGAAGAAATCGAGCGAGATATATTTAGTAGGGAGAGTAATGATAATAATGAAAAGTATTGTTATTTCTGAATATGTTGGCTAGAACCACCACAAGGGCTTTTAATTTTTTATTAATTTAGTATGGCTTTTGATCTTACGAAAGTCATCATCTGTGCGGATAGCAAAAGCATTATCACCATCTCGTTCGCGCACCAAATTAGTGGCATTCCGAACCAGGCATACTTGTATTGGTGCATAGCAGCGAGATCTCTGGTTTTACGAAATAATTTCTTTTTTCCAGTGTAAGATGCTCGTTCATATATATTATGGTCATTGGCAGTGGCCAAGCTAGGGCTCCAAAGCAGGGCAAACCCAAGATATGGTTTTGTTTTTTTAGCAGTTTTAAAATACACCAATCTTGATTTGTCTCTTCTTCAGTTTCATAATCAGTTCTATCGAGAACGTGTTTAACAAAGCGCACAGAAGGTTGTACTGCTAGATAGATTGTATGACATATCAGCAATTGCATACCTTCGGTGGCTTTGAAAAAAGCCGTTTGGGTTTACTTGAGCAAAAGAAAAGATATTTACATACAATACTATATATTATTCTACTACTATACACGAACAAAAGAAAGGCATGAACAGAGTACAAACAAACTATGTACAAAATAAAAATAAAACAAATTATTTATATTCTAAATCGAATCGTCTCTCTTTCTCAAGGAAAGATTTAATTATGTCCGCGTAAAACATAGAGGAAAGTAATATATCGTACATGTGTTGTACAGTAATGTATCGTACATTTGGCGTAAAATGTTGGTGAACGTTTTAATTGCAGTGTTGCCAACGGACCACTAACATAAAATTAAAAAATTGTGGTATCTTACCCCAGCCAGGGTGGGAATTTTAGCTAGTTCTTGAATCAAATGAATCAGTCCGATTCAATAGGTTTTTGAATCGATGCGGTGCTTCGAATCGATCTAAAAAATCGATAAATTTACTCCAAAGAATCGTTTTTTCAATTAATCGATTTTAGAGCGACATGCCTATTGCCTAGTACGAGTGCCTAGTGCCTACCATAGATAAATAACATATGCGTAGTATCCTCTTTAATAGTCTGTGTTAAATAAATATTTAGCAAGATAGCAAGCTAGTGCCTACTGTACTGTTACTGCATTTTAACATTTTTAAAAACTCCGGTTTATTGATGAAAAAGTGAATTCAAATAAAGTAAAGCTATAGAAAACAGCAATGGCTTTTAGTGAAGTTTGTAGAATTTGTTTACGCGTTAATGTACACATGTGTGTACTAAAGAAGATTAGTCTCCGAAATTTGTACAAAACATTGACGAACTGTTTTGTAAGTTCTTAATATTTCTTATTATTGCAAATTGCAATTGCGGTAATTTGTCATTTTTGCCGGAGAAATACATTATAACTTCCCTGATATAAAATGCGATAGATCGGAGCTAGGCTAAGGTGCAGCGTGTAATATGGTGCTACCAGACAAATGCAACCAGAATCTGAAAAACAACAATGAGCCTGAAATCCTACTACGTACTAGAAGAAACACCGGGACTTTGTTGTTTGCAACACGCGTTAGAGCCCGCGGACTCAAACTTAATTCCATAAAAAGGTACCATGTGCCTCCTTCCACGCGACCCGTACTGCTGCATAGATTTTTTTACCGTGTCTGTTCTAGTACATATTACTGAGTATTATTGAGATTTTCTGTCAAGAAATGAACAAAATGGTTTGGCCTTTCACCCACTTAAAGCCATTCTATCAGACTATTAAAGTACACATGTGCTTACAGAAACAAAAATTCCCTAACTCTCATATTTCTCATATTCCTATACAGAAACCAGAGAAAGGATTAATGTGCATATGTGCTTGCTTACACATAAAAATAATAAATCCTTTATTTTCTGAAAAATTTTACATTATTACATTAAGTTAAAGTTTAGCCAAACTAAAAGAAGAATTTAAAAAGAAAGCACAACATTATATAAACTAAAACTACAGTTATATTACAAAATGTCTCTTATTTCGGTGTGTCTTTCGACAAAGGCCTCCACCAACTCTTTCCACTGCTTTCTGTCTGCTGCTACTCTTATCCATAAGGTCAATTTTAAATCATCCTCTCATCTTCTTGCTTTACAACCTCGGCTCCTAGTGCTGCCCTTGAGTACCAAACCATCACCTGTTTGCTCCATTTTTCCTTTTTGCAGCGCTGCTTACACATACATGCAATATAATCCTGCCCTGTGCTAATGAATAGTCTTCATTGTGATTGCCACACTGCAGCTATATTATGGTATGACAGGTGGGTCAGCTCTACCGGGGTGGTACCATTGTCTAGTGTTAATAATGTCATGGTATAGTGTTAATATTATAACAATACAATATTATTTTATATGTTTCAGTCAAGTGTTTTATTTCTTCTTTCTATTCTCTGTGATCTTTCAGAGTTGTAAGTATAAGGTGTTTTTAGACTTTCCTCTTATAGTATGTTTTCAATGCTCTAGAAACTTAAATATCTATGTTGAAGCTTCTACAGTAACTCAAAATAATTTGGAATGTATATTCCAAAATAGGTTTTATATATTATTAGTGTAATTTCTGGTATTATTAATACTAATATAATTATAATGCAACAGTTGCCATGCTAGGCAGGCAGGTCGGCAACTACGTTTTTTTTATTATTCTGACCTGTTATGAGGAATATGCTGCTGCCCTTCATACTGCAATTATAGTGCAATTCTTATGAGATAAAATAATCTAATTGTTGGATGACCAAACCCACCTCGAACTCACTTCATGCTGAAATTGATATTAAATTAAAAAAGTTAAAACTGCTAGGTATGTATATTGTTACTAACTTCATTTGAAACTAAGTGACAGTGGCCTAATAGAAGGGTGCAGACTGTAAACTCAAGAAAGTAGTGAGTTCAAATCTACTATTGGACTATTGTTGTAAATCACTCTTAGCGCAAACATTTTCAGTTTACTTAGAGCAAATAAGAAAAGTTTTGGCAATGTTATGAGTGATGCTAGTAGTTTAAAAATTTAAATTTAAAAGCCCAAACTTGAACATAACTCTGTTGAGATCCCAAGAGTCTGGATCTACTGCTTTTAAAATTTTATCTGTTAATGTTATACAGACTCCTACTTACTTGACACTCACATTTTAAATTAATTAGAGAATTGTATCCATATATTAACCGCGTGCAGAAAGTTTGCAGATCGATGATTAGTAAAACTTAAGAAGACAACAATGAATAAAACTAAATTTATGGATTTTAACACGTTTATTTCACTACTTTTACTTATTTTTTATTCCCGACGTTTCGGGTGCTTTACAGCAACCATGGTCAAGGGGGGGGACTGAGATGTTTGAGGTCCCAATGTCATTGTTAGCCCGGCTACCTTCAGTTTTTGAATATTAATTTTTGGTCCGATTTACGCAAAACAAACTTACAGTATCTTGAAGTCTTGCAGTGGTATGCTTGGGTTTGGGTTTAATTTTGTTAATTATAGGATCCCAAGCAGATGGCAGCACCCAACCATCTTCTCTATTGAAATTAGGATGTTTTTTAATTTCAATAGCCTTGCGTATGATCCTTGGTAGGAATCGGTGTTCTTTTGCGAGGACTTGTGGTTTATCAAATCTGATGTAATGGTGGAGACGATCTTGAACATGTTCAGAGACTGCAGACTTCCCGGAGCGTCGGTGCTTCACGTCAGCTATATTTTCTTTCACGCTGGTTTTTATGGATCTTTTTGTTTGACCTATGTAAGAGAGACCACATTCACAATCTAACTACTACCTAAAACATTCATTCGAGTCATTCGAAATCCTAATAACACAATTGGTCACACTGTGTATAGGAAAAAGACCCATACCAACCGATATTTAAATGGTGAATCTCACCACCATCCTTCACAGTTAGCTACCGTGGGTAAATCTTTGTTTCAGAGAGCACGAGGGATCTGTGACAGAAAACATCTGGCCGCCGAACTTCAGCATGTCAAGCAAGTATTGCAAGACAACAAGCTTCGGGTCCCGCGCCTACGTCACAGTGACCAAGTGAAGCCGGCCACAGTCGAGCGTGTACCTGCTGTACTACCATATGTCAGAGGAATCACAGACAAGGTTGGCTACATCTTGAAGCGAGCTTCCATTAAAACATACTACAAGCCGCCGAAGAAGATTAGTCAATTTTTACCATTCGTCAAGTGTAATATCCCTCTGCAAGATGCAGGAGTGTACAAGTTAGATTGTGAATGTGGTCTCTCTTACATAGGTCAAACAATAAGATCCATAAAAACCCGCGTGAAAGAACATATAGCTGACGTGAAGCACCGACAGTCCGGGAAGTCTGCAGTCTGTGAACATGTTCAAGATCGTCCCCACCATTACATCAGATTTGATAAACCACAAGTCCTCGCAAAAGAACACCGATTCCTACCAAGGATGATATGCGAGGCTATTGAAATTAAAAAACATCCTAATTTCAATAGAGAAGATGGTTGGGTGCTGCCATCTCCTTGGGATCCTATAATTAACAAAATTAAACCCAAATCCAAGCATACCACTGCAAGACTTCAAGAGTTTTGTTTAAGTGTTTAAGTTCGTTTTGCGTAAATCAGACCAAAAATTAATATTCAAAAACTGAAGGTAGCCGGACTAACAATGACATTGGGACGTTAAACATCTCAGCCCCCCCCCCCGTGATCATGGTTGCTGTAAAGCACCCGAAACGTCGGGAATTAAAAATAAGTAAAAGTAGTGAAATAAATGCGATAAAATCCGTAAATTTAGTTTTATTCAATGTGTAGTGTTCGCGTAAATTTGAGAAATAATTAAGACAACAATGAATAATTTTGGAATGAGAGCGATAAATTCAAAGAAGTTGCACATGTGAGCGCACATCTGCATTGTTAGCAATACTAACTAGGCGAGTGCAGGATGCAGTCGGCCGAGTCGAGAGAGGGGTGGTCACAGGCAAACTTTCTGCACGCAGCTAATAGCTAGCAGAACCAATCTGGTAAGACAGGAAGTCGATGGATGTAGGTGGCTTAAGACTGTGTTGTTGCAGTGATATGATCCACTAGGTAGTAGGACTTTTTTCTGTCTAGGAGACTGTCTGGGTAGTGATCATCCTGTTACCTATACCTGCCACCACGCAGCAGTATGTGTCCCAGCCTGCCGTCGAAAGCCAGCATAATAACAGGCTGTGAAGCATTACATCTTAGTCCTCAGAGGTAACATTGCATCTGTAGCCTTTGCTTGAAGTTTGTTGCAGGTGCTTATGGGCTGTGGCAGCCACTTACCATCAGGTGGATTGTAAGTTTATTTGTTACTTCAATGTTATAAAAAGTTATGTAGAAGAAGAGAGTTGTGGTGGCCAATATATTTTATTAGAAAATTGTATATTTAAGTAGTTTTCCATATTTATGACAAATTTCATACTTTCAGATGGGTGAAGATGAGGAGCCCATAATTGTCTGTTTCATCTGTCATGCAAGACTCATTCGATGCAGAACATTACAACAACAGGCTATTGAGTCATATGCAGTTCTGCAGCAGTTGCTTGCAGGAGGGTCCATGGTATTATCCATTCCATTGATTAAAACCTATAAAAATCCGTCACAGATTGCTTCATAGGAGGGATTTTGCCAAATTTGTCACGCTTGGCAGGTTGGGAACCGCAGTATATATTAGTCTGAGTTGTTATCAAGAAGATGCTGCTGCCCAACTCCTGTTTCTGTTTCCCTGTCAGCTCTTACGACCCCCGTCCTGTGGGTAGGTATATTGGGTAGTGGATATCCTTGAACCATTACTACATGGTCTGCTGAATTATACTTCTTATTAATAAAAGTTTACTGCTTGATGGATTATGCCCATTATAATAAAGTATTTGCCTTAATCATCACTTGGCAGGCACCTTGATGATCACTACCTGCCTCGCTCACACACACACACACGCACACGCACGCACGCACGCACGCACGCACGCACGCCCGCACACACAAACACACACACAAACACACACACACACACACACACACTATTTTTTCAACTCAATTTTCTAAAACGGTAAAAACAATAACTTCATCATTTTTGAAAATTTTCATTTTTCTTAGCAGGAAGTTAAAAAAGCTTTTGGAGGTCTCAGTGGATGGTTCTGGAAATCTCTGGTAAAATGTTGCTGAAGTAACAAATAGGAAGCACTCTAAAACTGATATTACAAAATTTACTGCAAATTGGGCCTCGCGCAAGAGATTCCGTCGATCAAGCTAATAGCTACTTTAGTTGTGTGGGTAAAAAACTTGGCCTTGCGATTGTCCAGCAAATAAGAGACAATCTATGTACAATTTTTGTACAAATTCTCAGACATCATCTTTTTTTCTCTCTTTTTGCTCTCTAAATTTATTGGGAACTCTCACTTTTGTCCGGTTTTTATTATTATTTGGAGTTGTTTTGTCAGGAAGATGCTGCTGCATTTGCAGGATGGTATAGGGTAGTATGGATTGTCCTACACTTATTTAAAAAGAGTTTGGTTCCAGTCAATACCAAAACCGCATGAGGCTAGAGATAAGATTCAATTCACACCAATTAATCATATAGATATCTGGCCAGTAGAGTGTGATATAGAAAATGATTGTAAAGACGATATTTTTAGCCTTGAGTCTGTTAAAGTTGAGGAAGAGATAATCGAAAATGAGAATTACAAATTTGACGTAAACTGGAGTCATGAAATAGGTAAGATATACACATTTTGTGATATTATTAAATTAAGGTACAATTTACATAATGGCAAGTGGTTACTGTAGCCCATGGACATAAAATAAAGAGGACTTCATGTGCAATGTACTGATTTGCCTTTGCCTAAATTCAAAGTGCATGTAAAAAGCACTCATGGAGAAAGAAAATAACAAATTAAATAATTATTTAAAAGATATTTAATAAATAACAAATTAAATAATTATTTTAAACCATATGTGGACATCATAATGAGCATTGTTAAATATTTTCTCTTACATATGTATAAAAAATGTTTTGACCCTGTATAAATGCAGCCAGCATGTATGTACACTAAGATGTATTAACTTCATAGGAATTAATGATGTACTTATAACTGGTAAGCTACCATCTATCTTTGCCAATTTCTTAGCTCAGATGGATTCCTCCGTCCTCCTCTTACCTATTTCTGTCATCAAATAGCAGTGCGTGCACTGCTGTGTGCCAGTCTGAGGAGTATAGTCAGTATGATCACAGTCTGTGGGGCATTGCATCTCAATCGTCAGAGGTGACAGTGCATTGTAGCCGCATGTTTGAAGTTAGCTGGAAGCAGTCCGTGGACTGCAGTACCCAATTACCATCAGGTGGATTGGCTACATACCATAAGGTGGATTGTTAGTTTGTTTGTTTCTTCATACTAAAAAATATATGGAAAAAAGGTGCTCAAGGTATCCTTGTACTGGCAAGCACTCACCTACTAGAAACAAGCTGGGGCAGAACACTCACCAAATGAGGTGAATGAATCATCATCATCATTACAGCCCTTCACAGGTCCACTGCTGAACAAGGAACACCACAATGTACAGTCCTGAGCCACCTGCATCCATTGACTTCCTACATGTCTTACCAGGTCGTCAGTCCATCTAGTGGGGGATCGCCCTACACTTCATCTACCGGCACGAAGCTGACACAATTACGTCACTTTAGGAGAACCTTCTTCTCCATCAGATCACGTTGTCAGTTATTTGGCCCATTGCCACTTCAGGTTATTACACATAGCTTATAAAACATGCAGTATGGTAATGAAAGTGGGTGGCTCGGGCCCATACAGCTCGGAACCACATAGCTGTGTGATGGACTGTAATGATGTAGTCATTTTGGAAAAATATCAGGTTTTTTTTTTAATATATTGAGTCAAAATCTATTTCATTCTAGATACTGCTGAAGAACAAGAAGACTTGGAGATTGATGCTTTTGAAGATCGACATAAAGATTCGGAGAATTACTTGCCACTAATTGCATTTGGTTCAAAGAGTAAAACAGATGACATTGACATAGGTAAAAGAATTTACATTAGAAATTTCTCTTGCATCGTGTGGTTGGAGTTGGAGATGTACTGTTAAAAAATTAAAAAAAAAACACCACTTCAGAAATTTCTCTTGCATCATGTAGTTGGAGATGTACTGTACATACAAAATTTTGTTCTTTAATTACACATGAACAAACCCAATGATTGTTTGTGACCCAAATGACCCAAAATGATTATTTGTAGTATTAGTATTCGCCGGTGTTGACCCAAGGTGTCATTAAGATAAAATAGGAAAGGGGATTCACTGATTTGTTGATAGGGCTACTAACGTCTGAGAAAGTGTTTGTAAGTGCATCTGCTAATCATAAGATCCTGGGTTAGGCCAAAATCAGTTATTGGGTTTTGCTGTCAAGAAATTTTCAGTAGCAGCCCGGAGCCGGGAAATTGGCAGTGTTTCAACCCCGTGCATCGGAAAGCACGTAAAGCCGTTGTTTTTACGCCTGATCTCTCTCCAGTTGTGTTGAATTACCGTCCCATTTGACTTAGAGAGAGTGGGAATAGAGAGTGTAAAAAAGATGAACATTCTTATAAAGTTTCCAAGCTTCTCCTTGGCTGAATGCACCCCCGATCTCATTTTATTAAATACTTCTTCCATTCCTTATAGTAATGTATATATACAGGTACAATAGTATATATACATTAAATTAAGTAAACTGAAAAAAAAATAGGTTTTAGATCATTTTCCAAAGTTACCATGTAAATATATAATAAACACTAAATAAATGACACAAAACTGCAACAATTCACCGATTTCTAGCGCACTAAATACAAAATATTTCAAAGTTTAATTACATTTAATCATATTTGCCAATTTGTTCGATAACTTGTTGCCATCTTGTAGGTTGTGACATAATCCCGTTGCTGTAGAAATTTTGGAATTTTTGATCAAAACAATGCGACAAGTAGGTTGTACAGTGCCCTCTTGATGTTAACCTAACACTATCCAAATAATTCTGAAGAGACCGAAACAGCTGAAAATCTGAGGGTGAAAGGTCCGGCCTATATGGTGATCATTGACACTTCGCAACCAAAGTCTCAATTTTTGCCGAGTGGCCAAAGATGTGTGTGGTCTGGCGTTACCATGATTATAGTGGATGGAGAGCTAAGTGGACTGTGTTTGACTAATTATTTATGTATTTACTTGTATGTGAAGAAAGAAGAATTATGATAATCTATATGACTAACTAATTAACTATTTACTGAGAAACTGTTGCTAGGGACGTTATATATTGAAAGGTGGTACGAAATACTAGCAGAAATTTATTTTACTATTTACAATGATTATTGCGGCAGTATTATAATTTCACTATTTTATTCCTAGGAGGGGAGTCAAAGCGATCTTGATATTCCCTTGTTGTGTACTGGAGCTCTTCTTTGCCGCGAATGCAGAATGCCGATTTTTTTTCGTCTAGAAGCAAAGTAAAGTTCTAACCTCCAGGATGCGGGGGAGGGAGGTGGTGAATGCTCTAAGCATAAAGCATAACACGCAGTCGGCTGCGTGGTTATGTGGGACTCACTGAGATACTTCAGTACCTACCCACTAAACACCATCTGAGACTGGCCTGGCCTGGACATGGTAAGGTTGTGGCCGTGGAAGGAAATGGGGAGATCTCCCGCCGGGCAACGTGTTCAGCCCGGGGAGTGGCCAACACTCCGTGTGATAGTTCGGAGATGTTCTATATATACTGTTTATGGTTCGGAATTTTGATAGCGTGATTTAAGCTTCGGTGTGTTTTACTTGCGGCGCAACGACAGCGCCGCCACATCACCCCCCTGCTCAGATCGGAGGTCTGATAGTGCAGCCTCGTTGCCGACGAATGTGCAAGTGCCAGTAGATTGCCTTGTAGTCTACGGTGAGTCGAGAAGAAGGCAAGTAATCTGCGAGAGTGCCGTGAAGCAGAGGCGAGCAGTAGGGCTCAGAGCCGTGCCGAACACTGTATAGCGCAGAGAGTAGCTTGAAGGAACAGGAAGCATTATTATTCCAGTGCTGCGATGAACCTTGTGAAGCTAGATGGCTTGCAGGATATGTAGACTGCAGACGATATCTGCTCGGGAGCGAATGGGTGGGGTATTTTGTGACGATGATGAAGCTTGGAGTTTCCGAAGGTTGTTGGTTGCGTGTTCATATCACGTCGGGTGGTCACCACTGTAGCCATGGAAAGAAAAGGGGAGATCTCCCGCCGGGCAAGGTGTTCTGCCCGGGGAGCGGCCAACACTCCGTTTCTCTATGTCTACCTGGCCCCTTTTTTTCAAGTTTTTTCTGTACTATTTAAGTTACAAGCTAAATTGATACTTCGTTGGGTAGCTAGATAAGTAGGGATGTTTTTAACATGATTTGCACAATTGGGCACATACAAGTATTTTTCACAAAATCATTTTTAATTACTTATCTTCTGTTTGGAAGAATCACACTGTAGTATTGATAAATAAGTATCCAGGTTTTCATTAAGTAAAAATAATAAAATGAAAATAATACAGCTGTAAGTTTTTTTTTTAGAAATTTTTGACACCAGACTTTTGATATTTTTGAAAAAAATAATTAAACCTAAATATCTCGAAATTGGTCCACATTTGCATAATGCATTTTATGGTTCATTTGATAGGTTATGACCCAACTATCACGCCTTGGCGGAAATACGTCGAGTTACCAATAACCCTGTATATATATATATATATATATATATATATATATATATATATATATATATATACATACATAGAGGCTGTCCCAGAAGTCGACATCAAGCCGGAATCGGGTGATAGGTCAAGTCATAATAGATAACGGAAAAATATAAAAAATTATTTTCTGTGTATTTTAAAAATTACAGGTATTTGTAAAAAAAATCGAGAAAATCTACATCCTGTGACGGTTTTTTAACTTCTGTTGCTTAAAATTTGAAGCCAACTGCTCCAGTCCAGAAGAAAATGTAATTTTTTTCCCAACCAAGTATTCAATATGTATGCCCAGTTTTGAGTCCAAATACACTGGACTGGTCAAAATCTGATGAAAGAAAGTGATGATTATTTTCTTGCAGTATCCATCCTAGTTAGTTGCACTTTTGGGCACTCCAGTTCTTAATTGTATTACACGCACTGAAGTACTCGGGTCTTCTTAGACAGATTTTAGCACAACGTTTTTTTAACGTGGTAGAGCCGTGCTGCAGCTATATTGGTAATATAGTTGTAGCACGAATGGGTCGGCACGACCGAGGAGTCTCTTAGTTTGGGAGTCGACCCACTAAGAAAAGTAAACGGTGCACATAAAAAAAAATCGATAGTCCAAATGACGAGCAGCATTTGGGTACATCTCACGAGAAAGTCTAGCTGCAGCACCAGCGTTGTATCTGCATTCCGCATAAATGAGGTGCATGTTAGCATATTTTGTGTGATGTACACAGACATGGTCGCACTGAGACTAGGTCGTCATAAAGGGAAACTAAACAGGCCAAATGCAAATCACAAGCAATCGAGTACAATAAACGAAGCCAAATATGATCAGTACGAAATTAACACGAACGAATACAGAGAGATGCGCAGTAAACGAAGGAGCCTAATGTGCTGAATTTTGTATGCGACAGTGAAAAAGTAGCGTCACTATCCGTTTCACTCAAACTAGAATCTTAAGTAACGGGCTTGAGAAAAGCCCTGGGGTACACAAAATCATTTTAGAGGGTAAGGAAAATTAATTTACAACTGGGTTTCTTAAAAAATATCCATTATTTAACAAAAATAGTCTTGCAAGTGTTATATCATTTTGGATTCCTTATTAAATGCGCCAATTTTATTTTAATTAAGCTACTTGCCAATCTCGGCCATACCATTTTTCTTCAGTACAGTGGTTTAAAACTGGGCAAAGTATTAATTTTAAATACTTGGTCGGGAAAAAAATTACATTTCCTTCTGGACTGCAGCAGTTGGCTGTAAATTTTAAACAGAAGCATTATTTTCAGAAGCATTATCCAGGTTGACACAATAAAAAAAAAGTTGAATATGAAGAGAATATGAGAATATGAAGAGAAGACACAATAAAAATAAAAGCAGTACAGTGTGTAGATTTTATAAATGCCTGTAGTTTTAAAAATACATAGCAAAGATTTTTTCCTAGAGATTTTTACCTATCATCCGACTCCAACTTGACGTCGATTTATGTGTCAACCTGTATATATATACACCTCGAAAATTAACAATTTTCTGGGTGCTGGTGGAGAACGAACCTGGGCTGCTAGCGTAATGTAAAATTTTATGGCAAACTGCTTGCCTCTGAGCTACCAGGGCTTGTTTTGAGTCTTTGTATGGCCTAGAAATAATTCCTCTATCTTAGTCGTCCCGTAAACTTCCACTGCTGCGCATGGAAGGATGTCTCCCCATGTAGGGAGGATTTACCTCAATCGTCACCCTTGGCATAGGATTGTTATACCGCCATCTGTCGGAAAACCAAACCCAGAGTCGCCTCTACGAAACCCACGGGTTAAAATGTGATGATGAATTCTCTTATGCCGCACTTACACGCCAGCTTTGACTGTACTGTGTGTGTGACACTAGTTCTGTGTGGAATTCGAAACAGCCTAGACTATATTCTTAATATCTATCAAAAATACTGGTCAAAATGCATGTATGTATGACACTCTTTCTATGTGGGGATTCAAACCAGCGTTTATTAGATTAATGTAATTATAACACGGTCATTAGATCGTCATTATTATTATTCGAATTTAGATTCTTTACCATTCTTTCCCTCCAAAAATGAATGTGAGAGACATTATTCAGAGTAATTGGCTAAAATACTTTACATTGCAACGTTAAATGAGTGTAATTATGTAAAATATTATAATTTCTCTATATCTCCCTGGTCAGGTATAAATTGAGCCTTCTGTAAACCGTCTAAGGTATCTTACAATAAAGATACAATGCCTTACAATAAAGAAAATGTTTAATTCATTTGTATTTCAGAACAACCCTGCATACAAACAAATAATTTTTCAAAACCGTGTGAGAAAAAGATTACATCAAATTCTACTGATTGTAACATAAATGATGTTCGTAAAGGACACCTCGATTTAGAAGGCCCTATTAAATCAAAGCCTAAACTGAAAAGAGATACTCAACCAGTTATTAAAAAAGGGAAGCATCCTGCAAATATTATGAAAAAGAAAATTGTGAAACCGAGTGTAAATATACTTAAGAAAAACACATCTGAGGCATCTATAAAATACATTTTTGAATGTGATGATTGTAGAAAATTTTTTTTAACAAAAGATTCTCGCCGACCACATATCATACAGTCATAAGACGCAAAAGAAGTCAGATGCAGTTCAGACACAAATTGAACAAACTCCAGTATCACAACTAATGGATATATATAACTGTGATATTTGCGAATTTAAAACATCTTATAAATGTCGCATTTCGACACATCTGAAAGCGCACGTCGCTAAGCAAGCGTACTGTTGTACTAATTGTGATTATAAATGTATTACAAAAAGTAAGTTGCAAACACATATGAAAATACATACCGGTGAAAAACCTTTTTCGTGTAATGTCTGTGAATATAGATGTATTACAAAAAGTAATTTGCAAAAACATATAAAAATACATACCGGGGAAAAACCTTTTTCGTGTAATATCTGTGAATTAAGATGTATTACAAAAAGTCATTTACAAATACATATGAGAATACATACCGGTGAAAAACCTTTTTCGTGTAATATCTGTGAATTTAGAAGTATTACAAAACGTCATTTGCAAACACATATGAAAATACATACCGGTGAAAAACCTTTTTCGTGTAATATCTGTGAATTTAGATGTATTACAAAAAGTTATTTGCGAACACATATTAAAATGCATACCGGAGAAAAACCTATTTCGTGTAATATTTGTGAATATAAATGTATACTAAAAAGTACTATGAAAAGACACATAAAAATACACACCGGAGAAAAACCTTTTTCGTGTGATATCTGTGAATATAGATGTAGTAGTAAAAGTAATTTGCAAAGGCATTTGAATATACACACTGGAGCAAAATCTTCTTCGTGAGATATCTGGTAAAATATGTGAAAACCCGCTTCGCAGGGTTAGTTTTTTACTAAATTATTATTTTTTTTTTAAATTAAATGACTTTCCTTGTTAAATTTTTGAGTTTTTTTCTTACATATTTTTTTATTCATTATACAAAAATACTTTACAGATAGTCATGTACTGAATACCTATATTACAATACATTCGTATGCACTACGTTTATTGTCTTTTGTTCTGGTGCAGACATGAATAATTTTTTTTTCTGTCTGTATGGTTTGTATACATACCTACCCTTTCAAGAAATAGAGTTGAAATCAGTTCATACACCAAAGTTAAAGGTTTATTAAAAGTAAAATAATTACAATGGTATTGTGGCAAATCTCTCGTTGAGTAGTTGGTGTTTAGTACGACGGTTGTTGACATACTGATTTGAAGTTAAATATAGTAAAACTATTAGTAACTAAACATGCGCCCCGAAAGTGGGTACAAACGTAAGCGCAAAGTAAAGTTGAATGTACGATGGCTTGCCCGTAGATATTGGCAACGCGAAAGAAAAATAAGATAAATTAGAGAGAAAAACTATCAAGGTAAAGTAATATAAGTATTAATCGCCAAAATTAAAATCAATGTGGTTTTTCGCTGTACTCGCCGTAGTAGGTGTTCGTGGCAGCTTATCGGACGGCTGCGCTGGACTCGGTGCTGCAGGTTCGCCTTTCCCGCAGTCGAGTGTTGTTCCGTATCTTCAAGTTCCAACGCTTCATTTGTATATGATGTCATGTCTTTGTATTTAGTGCAATAACGGCTGAAATGCTTTCTTGCTATCCATACAGTCGTTCCATGAAATGCAGCGCTAAGAAGTATGTAGCAGATCAGTTATTGGTGTAAGTCGTGATTCGTAATTGACAAGGGTAAGACTTCGTTTTCATGTAGTGAATGTAATCGCCTGTCAATTTATTGAAGTTCAATATCATATGTTTCTTGGATTATTTTCCATGATACATTCATCATCATCATCATCATAATTACAGCACTTCACAAGTCCACTGCTGAACATAGGCCTCCCTCAAGGTATGCCACAAAGCACGGTCCTGAGTCACCTGCATCCATTGACTTTCTGCATGTCTTACCAGGTCGTCACTCCATCTAGCGGGGGGTCGCCCTACACCTCGCCTACCGGTACGAGGCTGCCACTCGAAAACCTTTTTTCCCCAACGGTTGTCGGTTCTTCGAGCTATATTGCCGGCCCATTGCCACTTCAGCGTACTAATCCGTCATGATACAATATGGTGAGTTAACCTGATAATGTTGTTCGCTGTAGTTCGATATCCCAACTGAAGAGTTGGGATATTATTTAGTATTTGTCGATTTTCATTTTGGTGTTGTATTCATTGTGTTAGTGAATAGTGAAGTCTTTGGATTGTAGTACACACCCTTGCGCGAGTTTTACTATGCCAGACGACGTCATACAGTGCGACGTCACATCAAAGTCACGTATCGTGCGCAAAGTGCAAGCGCCGCAGCAAACGGCCAGCCAGCTGTTTGGCTTGTCTAATGCGATCCACGCGTCATTGCATGATGTCGGCTTGACGTCACAGGATGTGCCCGAACTGTGACTCAATAACTTAGCTTCACATGGAGCATTGTTGTTATGTAAGTTGAACACCGGTAAGTTTTTAAGGTATGTAATGTAAGCACTTGGCCACGGTAATATTATCTAAACAGTATTGTAACTCGGCCGTATCTGAAATAAATACCTACAGCCGCGCGGTACGTAAACATGCGATAGGGCTGCCCATTGAGTTATACAATACTAAATCAATGGGGCTGCCTGCCTCCAGCATTTTTTACATTTGCCTACTTTGTGTTTCCATTTAGTTTTATGATTGTAGATATACTTTTTTATATAAACAAATATAATAGGTACTTTGTGAACAGAATAGGAAGTGATCAATAAAAATGCGTGTCGTTTTTTGATTGGTAGATTTAATTAAAAAACCACGTTTATGTTTGAATAACAAATCGGTCTTATGAATTTGCGACCGAAAAATATTTGCGCCTCGGTTGAGACGTACGAAATGCTTTATTTTAAATTTTTAAGTATAAAAAATCCGCACTCTAATATAAAGCTTAATTAAAAATTGTTTTGGGACATGGAACATGGACAAGGTGAAGAAAAAAATATCTTTTATTTGGTTATAGAGGTATCTATATTTTATAACCAAGTAAAAAAATTATTTACAATTTATGTGTTTGCTTTTAAATGATGTTCGGATTTATTATTTATTTATTTATTTTCTATTATTTATTTCCTCCATTGTTTTATATATATTCCACAAAATCATCACTGCGGCACAGTCACTCACGACTGTCTGCATGCCGAGCGCGTGCCGAGATCGAGGCGCGTAGCTAAAGCCACAGAATAAATAATAGTACTACGTACTACAGAAGTTGCACTCCTTTGATGTCGACTGCTTACCGACGTTTAACCTTTTGAGCGCCAAAGTCGTCTATACGTGACCAGCACCCGCGTGCCCTGAGCGCCAACGACGTCTATAATTGACAAAAAACCCGGCCCACAAAAATATGAAATATAGACATTGGAAAATTATTACTGGTATTTTAATTCTACACCCCTCAAAAAAGAATAACCCAGCAACATGTGAGTATAAAAACAAGTCTCCTAGAGCCACAAGTACTAAGAAACATTGAACTAAAAAAAATGGATTTTTATCTAAGCAAATACTATGTCCAGCACGCCAAAATCGTCTATGTTAGACCGCTAGTGTTGTAATGCGTTAGGCATAAATTTATTGAAAACTATTCAAAATTAAGCTCAAACGTGTTATTTTTTTTTCTATTATTATTGATATTTAAATAAAACAAAAGGTTAGAAATATAAAACTATAATTAGCTACATGAATTTTAAAAAAATTAACAAATTATCTTCGCATAATAAATCTAATATCTCAACTCCGGCGCATCCCTAGCGCGACATCGAAAATCAGTCAGGCCCGGTCAACTCTGTATGGACAGAATGAAATACCTACGGGGGGCTGAATTTTATTATTGCCATTTGTCAGATAAATGTCTTGTTTTATAATTAGTAAGATTTTGCTAAAGATAAATTACACTCAAAAATTTTGAATACAGAAATAATAATCAATAGGAAGATAACTATGCCTGTAGTATTCTTCTACATTATTATATTAGCATATCCTTGACAGTAAAAGAAAAATGAATGTTTTCTTTTTGTTTTGATTTTCAATGAGTAGAAAATTATATTTTTTACTGGTAACACCAAATACCTAAATGAGTATATATTTCTCTTTTCTCATAATATGGCGTCGCCGTATAAATTATTGTTGTTCATGATTGGTTGTTATGTTTGTTTTGCTTGTGTCTTTTACTAAGATTTTGCAAGTTTACGATGTTGAGTTGAGATTAATGTCCTTCATTTATATGATGTGCAATGTGTTAGTCAATGAATCGTAGTGAAATACGAAATAGTGACTCTTATAAACTACGCTGCAATGGCGGATAAAGAAAATAGAAAATGTGTTCTAAGTGCAACAGCATACCAACCATTGACAACGTTAAATTATTTAGGTTTCCGAAATTCGCAGTAAAGTATATTTTGCGGTACGTATACGATATACATATACACTATTTAATAAGTTCTAACCTTAAAGTAAATCTCTTGTACAACTTATTGTTTCTCTTTTACCATTTAAAAACAAATTATTGGTATGTAAACCATTAATTTGTTTTTAACCTACTTTGATAATATTTGTATTTAATAATTATATCTTTTGTTTTCAGTTGTAAATTATGGGCGAAATATTATATTCCTTCCCAAGAGCAGTATACTACTTTAGCTTTCCAAAGCTACATAATAAGCCCAGAATGCTGTGTGAAAAACATTTTCATGATGGTTAATTTAATGATGCAACCAAGAAAAAGCTCTTAAGCACTGCAGTCCCATGTGATGTAAGTAAAGTGTATAATGTATATGGTAATATGGTATGTATATAGTTTTCTTTAAGGATTACTCAGATATTTTATATGGGGATTACTATATTCAGGAGTGGACTTTGATAGACTGTAAAGAAGATGATGATTATTCATATGACCATCATCTGGATCTAACATAGATGGACAGACCATATACAGTAGTTTGAATCCTGTTAATTCTTTCAACTAATTTATAATAATTGGATCGGACAAAGCATCCAAAAGATTGAAGTCTATAAAGTTAGCACAAGCCTTTCCTTACATTATTAAAAGTGCAACACACTGCATATTATTTTTAACAATCAAATTTTATTTTAAATCAACAACAAACGTTAAGAAAGTTCCGGCATCACAATATATGAATAATTACATTTGGTCCTAAACCTATCAAATTTAAAGGCACAACTTGTACAATGCAGTAGAAATACATGCATCAAATGGTTCTCAAACATTAGATAAACACAAGATTTCTTTTCACATAGTTATTGTATTTACTATCTTATTTTGTTATATTAATTGTAATAGTGGGTGTATTGTAGAGCAAGTTGGATGAACAAGATCCATTCATTTATTTTGTATTGGTAGAAGGGTAATGTAGTGCCATGAGTAGGGACTGATTTACTATGAAAGTAATGTCAATGAATATAATGTTAATTTAATTTTATATAATAATTTTATGATACTATAATTTATGGTTAAAACTACTTTTACGGATTTTATTGCGTTTATTTTTACTTTTTATTTACTTTTATTTTTAATAATATTAAAAATAAAAGTTAAAAAAAAAAGTAAGTCGATAAAATCCGTAAAAGTAGTTTTAATCATGTATAGTGTTCGCGTAAATATAAGAAATCATTACTATAATTTATTTCAGTTTTTATTTATTTCCAGACTAACAAAGTGTATTCCCATTTTATTTTGTGGAATCACAAGCTGGTCCCTCGCAAATTATTGCTGCAAAACCACAAGCAGGATCTTCAAAAAGGACAACATTATATCCACTGAAGAACAAACATCAAAGCATAACACATAATGTTGAACCTGAAAAAGAAAGTATGTATATCTATATGAAATTTTTTAAAATGAAATAAGGAATATTTTTGTAATCTAATATTTAATATGTTTTATAATTTTGAATTAAAATTATTCTATTTATAAGCTGCATTCAATACTTAATATATTGCATATAATATAGAGGCAAAATTTTTAGTGTCAATTCAGGGAAATATAGATAGACAACCAAATATTATCAAAACACAATTATTATTTGTGAATGTTGCACTTTGCACTTGTGTGTAGGAGCTTATTTATTAATTAACTTGTTTTAGATTAAAATATTGATATTTTGGTTATTGTAGACAATCATTGTGCATATTATCAATTCATCCATGATTGTAAATCTTATTTCAATTCTTTATCATTGTTTACTTAAGTAATTGAAATGTAATCATTATTGATTTTCTTTTCATGTTTAAACCCATCAAATGTCTTTATAGAAAGAACTAAGCTGCTGGAGAAATTGTTTCTTAAGTTATGTATGTTTTTTATTTCAATTTGTATTTTTATTTTGAATAAATAAATAGAAATTTTGTAATTTTTGTTCTTTTATTTAGCGCTGGGATAGGAAACCCAAAAATACCTCAAATAAAAAAAAACAAAAAAAGACCACATTCAAATTTTCCCGCCACACGAGAAGTGCAGGAGGCTGACGATTTATATTTATATATCTCATTAGAGGAGTTATATATCTCATTTCTTAAATTTTGTATGAACTTGTCGTTCTTCTCCGATAGGAGTAATAGTGTTCTGTGAAATCAGTTCACTGGGCGCCGTGGTCAAGTATAGACGACACGCTGATGACGTCATAAGCGATTAGCGGGAAAATTAGTGCAGTGCAACATGAACGATTCCTCAGAACTCATTTGGATTTTGGAAAGCGTCGACGATGATGAATTTTCAGAAATTTAAAATTATCGTGAAACCAAAGTTTTTCGTTTTCGATTAACTCTACCTCAATGAGGTAGGAGTACACTTTATAGTCTTTTTACGGTTAATATCTTTTTTATAGCATAGCGTAATAAACGAGCACACAGTCCACCTGATGGTAAGTGGTTGCTGTGGCCTATAGACATTTACATCTATCCTCGATTACGAATCAAAATGCAGATGCACTATCACCCGTGAGGACTTATATGGAATGCCTCGTTTCCAGTAAAGAGGGTCTCCGGTTCTCTACACTTACCGTACAAAACACAGCAGCATTAAGCTACTATTTGACGCCGATATTCCGTGAGAGCGTGGTTCTTCCCCGGTTGAGCCGACCCATTCGTGCTACAACTACTCTCCCGTAATATAACTGCAGCATGGCTCTACCACGTTAGAAAATTTGCTTTGGACAGCTAAACACTTACGTTTTATTATTCCATAAGATTTTTATTATTTTAAGACTAATATTACCTATAATTTATTACGAGGGTGGATTGAAAAGTACTCGGCCTAACACAGATCCATTCAATTCTAAAAATCAAATCTACCCACATTATTTAGTTCAGTTCAGACTAGTTCATTGTGTGAAGTTCGAAACGTGTGCGATAATTAGTTGTGATTTTATAAATTTATTAACAAAGTAATCGGACATAATTTCCGCGAATGGAGCAAATCGAGCAGCGTGCCGTCATTAAGTACTTCCATAAGAAGGGGCTATCATCAAAAGCCATCCATGATGACATGGTCAGTACATTAGGCGATTGTGCTCTGTCATATTCATCCGTCAAAAAATGGATAGCAGAATTTAAGCGTGGTAGAGAGAGTGTGAAAGATGAACCCCGCTCTGGAAGGTCTTCGACGTCAACTACTGACGAAAATATTAAAAAAGTACTTGATTTAATAATGGGAGACCGCAGATTAAAAATTAGAGAGATAGCCGAGATTATAGGCATCTCTTATGAACGAACTCAAAACATCATTGTCAACGAGTTTGGTTTCCACAAGGTGTCTGCGAGGTGGGTTCCGCGACTGCTTTCAGTTGAACAAAAAAGGACGCGATTGACTATTTCACGCGACTGTTTGGAGTTATTTGAAGCCGATGCAGATGATTTTTTGAATCGTTTTGTTACTATGGACGAAACATGGGTTCATTACTGTACACCGGAAACAAAACAACAATCAAAACAGTGGATAAGACCTGGTTCACCACCCCCTAAAAAGGCTAAGTCGATTTTGTGGGCAAATAAGGTGATGGCTTCAGTATTCTGGGACTCGAAAGGTGTGATTATGATTGATTATCTTGAAAGGGGTCAGACTATAAACTCTGATTACTACTGCACCTTACTACGTCGTTTACGAGAGGAAATAAAAGAAAAACGTCGAGTAATGTTTAGAAGAAAAGTCCTGTTTGATCAAGATAACGCCCGTGTTCACACGTCAGTACAGTCAATGGCTGAAATTCACAACTGTGGCTTTGAACTGTTACCGCATCCGCCGTATTCACCTGATCTGGCACCATCAGACTTCTTTCTGTTCCCTAACCTAAAAAAGCACTTGGGAGGTCAAAGATTTTCGACAAACGACGAGGTCAAAGCAGCTGTAGACGCATATTTTGACTCTAAGGAAGAATCATTTTTTTTCAACGGTCTAAATGCTTGGAAGGGGAGGTGGCAAAAGTGTATTGAACTTGATGGTGATTATGTAGAAAAATAAAAATATAACTGATTTAGTATGTGTTTATTTTCTTGGTTAGGCCGAGTACTTTTCAATCCACCCTCGTAATTATTTTTAATTGTTGTTTTCTATATTAAGTACTGATGGAGTTAAAGACCAAGATTTCAATATTTTAGGACTAGACCTAGTGCAAATAATTATTTACAATTGTTGATTAGTGAATAATTATGTACCCTTTGTTGATTTCTGTAATAAGTACTGATTTTTTATTCCATGACCAAGATTTTAATATTATAAGATTGATTTTTCTAGTGCGAATAATTATATTTTTCGCAGCATTCGGCATTCGGCAGCATTTGTTGATTGGTGGATAATTATGTACCATTTTTTTTTATAATAATTACTGATTTTTTATTCCATGACCAAGATCTTAATATTATAAGACTGATTTTCCTAGTGCGAATAATTACCTATATACAATTGTTGATTAGTGAATAATTATGTACCTTTTCTATTTTAATAACATAAAATTACAAATAATAAATGTGTTTTCTTTACTTAAGGTATGAAGAGCAATTTTCCATTTTGTGTTGTGCGATTTTTTTTCTCAATCTCAAAATCATTTAGCAACATCAGCATCATATGAAACCCCCTTTATCATAAGAGCGTAAGACTTTTCTTCTGTGATTCACTTGGCCTACGTACGGCCTTGCCATAAAATATTTTGAATCGATGTCTGTATATTTTGGTTAGATCTATTTTGAAATCGATACACAACGTGCGACACGGCTACATCTCTAAGAAAGTTTCAAAAAGAAAGGTCAGCTACGCCGTTGTCGTCCAGTCGTGACAGTGACGTCATCACGATGGAGAGTAGTGTTGTGGTTTACTACTATTTTATTGTTATTGTTTGTTTTTTATTTATGTACAAAGTACATATATAAAAAGAGTGGAAGACAGCACAAGATTAAATAAAACATACCCGATTATAAAGAGTCATTTATTGTATAAAAAACCAACAAAAACAAGTTATTTTGTGTTATCGATATATCAACTCTTGGCAGCACTGTTTTTTTTTTCGTAGGTATTTTAGTTTACTTTTCGCTTTGGCGTACAGGACACGGTAGTGAGTTTTTGGCGTGGCGCTCAAAAGG